CCCAGGGCCTCACGGCTGACACTGCGTTGCCGAAGGCCCTGGCGAAAACCAAAACGAGAAGTGATTTGATTGGTCGCATGAAAACAATGGAATGCGGAAATTGAACACGAACTTTTTTACTAATAAATATGGCTGACTATAGGAGTAGATAGGAGTGTATTAACTCTTCAAAGAAGACGAAGAGTCGTTTTGGTCGTTGAAATCTGCTGTCTATCAATGGAAATTTTATTTTTAATATAAAAAATGTTGGATGTTGTGTCACAATGTATTAAAAAGCTGCACAAAATTGGACATTGGATTATTTAAAGATTGAAATCGTCAAATCGTCGAAGCCGAAGGGACATTTTATAGTTTTATATACGAGATTTAATTATATACAGAGTATAAACAAAGACAGGTGAAAGGCTATGCGAGAAAGACTGTACCGTTAATTGTACAAATCTACAAAAATTGTGAGTGATGTCTTGAATCTTTCAATTACAAATGAGAAAATCCTGATCGTGAATGAGTGTCTGTGTGGTTGTTCAATGCAAGAGGGGTCCATGCCATACATATTATATTAAATATAGTATATTATAAAATATAAATTATTTTATAATATACTATATTTAATAGACATACTTTATTGATTTTATATCAATTTCATCAAAGGCTCTTAATTTATGTAAAAATATTGTATTTTATATTAAATGTATTTAATAATGACATATTGTATTTTAATACTATTTAATAATGACAAAGTGATTAATATAATAGCTGGAAATGTTAGTTCTTCCACCTTGTTTTGCCTTAAATTTCATGCAATATATAGCTTAATTTATAGGCTATCAATGTTTTTTACAGTTGACAAATTATATTGTTAATAGTAATACTGCAACTTTGCTACACTGGTGATGAGCCTCCTAATTTTATGCTGTATACATACATTCAGTATTAAGTAATGTGTCAACATCTGAGAAACTAACTTCTGAATCTCTTACATGCAGTTGACATAATTTTTATAAATTATAGTGCTAGATTTCAAGGTTTAATTAGTCACCATAGGCACAGGAGGAAAGTTTTGAAATTTAAAATTGAGGAGCACTTCATGTCAACAGCACCAAATTTATAATTTGTAAACTTTTGAAGAGAAATTGGGCAAGGCAGAGGCAGTGCAAGGATCGGGTATGGGGGGGGCTGTAGCTCCCCTATGTGGAAATTCTAGCCCCTCCCCAGTCAGGGAAGTGGAATGTACTGGGAAAAATTATGTTTTGTAATGACCTTGTTTTGTAGTGCTGGTAAATGCACTGTTACAGACAATAAATTCTGCACCATTTCATGAGAGCCAAAAAATTCAACATTTTCATGTGTGAGCATAAGTTGAACATACAAAACAATAATTTTACTGTTTGAAAGATTATAGCCCTCTGTTGGGAACCTGATATTCTTTGTCGGGGAACCTGATATTCCTTGTCGGGGACTTGATATTCCTTGTTGGGGAACTCCTGGAGCATCCGGCCTCCACACACAAACACACTGGTACCCACACACCTCCATTTCCTACACCACTGCAATATTAAAGCACAGCATGGATGCACCATAAAGCTGTTATTTATTTTTTACAGTATCTTTATTAACACACCAAATTTTCATAGAGGAAATTGTAAGAATAAATCATTATTTATATCAATGACACAAAATTGTTTATTTTGTTCATGTAATTTCTTTCTTTCTCTGAGTTGATGAAATTTCTTTCTTTCTCTGAGTTGATGCAACTTCTTTCTCTGAGTTGATGAAGAAACAAACTTCCCGACATACCAATCCTTTCATAGCAAGGCCTGAAATCCTTCCTAAAGTAGTAGTACAATGTTTATAAATTAAAACAATCTTTAGCCAAAAATTTTAGGCCAATCATAATTTAACAGCAACATGGATAATTTTATGATTGAAAATGGCTGGCAAGAAAATACATATTTCAAGTCATATATATGTATTAAACTGAATATGATACTAGCTTGTAGTATGCAGTCACACGATACCTTACAGGTAGTTGTATATCCTACAAACAATTGTTATCTGGGGATACCAAGATTAAGGTGGGGCGAGGGTGGGTGGGTGGGATGCACATAATATTTCAGGTTTTTATGCTCATTGTCTCTGTCTAAATGCCACATTTTACATGTGCCAAATCTAATGTGAATTTACATGGTTTGACTCAAATAATAAAGTTTGACTCAAATAATAAAGTTTGACATTTTGATTTAAATGTTGAATTTATGTACATACCGGTACGTAGTAAACATATGTAACTTATACATTTGTCCAAAGTGGCAAAGTAATTACTTTGCAATTATACGCACTCTCCCCTTGATGAGCAAAAATTGTCGGACATTAGACAGTAAGATAGTAAAGTACAATAGATAATCTGATTAACCCACTGAGCAGTAGCACTCCCACATTGACCAGTACACTCAATCATCTGGCATGTTAAGCTGAGTAAAATAATTTGGTAGCACTTAAAAGGTTGAACAAACTTTTCTAGACTTGGCACATGTAAAATGCAGCGTTTAGACCGGACGTATTAAACAGAATATATGTTGTCTGTATGTGTACAGTCTTGCATGCAGATAATATAGCAAAGAAAGAATATTGAGAAATATCCAAATATATCAGTATCACTCACTCACCATTCAGTAACAAGATTGGGCTTTGTCCACAACTATCGCTTTTAAATTGTCTGTATATTTCGTCGATTATAATAAAAATTCAAAAACTTTCATGTTCTCCAATTGATTGCTGTCCGTATACAATGACTCTCCCAAACTACACATTGTATCCTTCGATTCATCAACTTGAACAGCTTTCATAATTGAAACATTTACATGATCCTTTAGTTTTCTGATTTGGTCAATCATTAAAACATTTAATGGTGAAATAACCAGATCAAATTAATGTTTATCTTGCATGTAAAACATTATTTCTTTCGAGAAATTCTCAAAGTTCACTCCTTGCAAAAAAAGATGCAGAGTCAGCATTTTATTACGTTTTCTTCCGGCAAACTACAAGAATTTTGAAGTTCCGGTTTTGGTTTTCGCCAGGGTCTCCGGCAACGCAGTGTCAGCCGAGAGGCCATGGGACCGAGGATGTCAGGGCCTTTGAGAGTGCAAGACATAGAGGGAGCAGAATTAGCCCAAGTAAATTTTGTAGCTCAGACAATGAATAATGAAAATAGTTTGGAGAGTAATGTACAGAAGCTGTGGAGTTTTGAAGGGTTAGGTATCCGTGAGAAAGATAAGGTTCATGAGGAGTTTTTAGATGGCATATCTTTCACAGGTAGTAGATATTATAACAAACGTACTTGCAGGGAGGTGAGTCCGGGATTGGACGCACCGAGGGTGGCTGGAAGTTTCCCGAACTTACCGAGCGAAGCGAGGTGAGTTCGGGAAACTTCCAGCCACCCGAGGTGCATCCAATCCCGGACTCACTGAACCTGCAAGTACGTTTGGTTTTTATCCCATACACCGAGCCATACACACATTTGTAGCTCTTCGCGATATATTCGTCGATGTTTTGTGAACATTTTCCCGGCCAAAAAATCACTGGGCAAGAAAATACTTCTTTATCTACGTCTACATTACCTTTACTGCATTTTTTCTTTGGTTTTTCTTCAGTCTCAGTATGTTAGTCACCGAAAAAAGTTCTTTAAAGTTTAGGTTTATCGGCTAAATCTTGTCCGCCATATTTGTTTAATATTGTTATTGCAACGTAAGCAGTTTAGCGGGTGAGTTCGGGCGAAAAGCAGGTGAGTTCGGCAAAAAGCAGGTGAGCTCGACGACAAGCTCACCTGCTCTAAACCAATCAGAAAGCCGCTTTTAACACACGTATGGGATAATCAGTGAAACTACCCTGGAAGGAAAGCCACGACAAATTGCCTGACAATTATGTAAATAGCTTAGGTAGAATGGAGAATCAGTTACGACGACTGAAGAAGGAGGCAGCATTGTTGACAGAGTATGATTCTATCATCAGAGAACAGGTAGAGCGAGGGATTGTAGAGCCAGTAGCAGCATTGGAGAAAGTTGATAAAGTTCATTATTTACCACACCAGGCGGTCATTCGCAAGGATGCAGTGACCAGAAAGGTTCGGGTTGTTTATGATGCTTCATCTAAGGAATGTAAGTCAGGGACATCACTTAATGACTGCTTGCATATTGGGCCATCCCTCAATCCATTACTATATAGCATATTGATACGGTTTAGAGAAAACAGGATTGCTTTAGTAGGCGGCGCTATTGAAAAGGCTTTTTTGAATGTGGAGGTTGATAAGGCAGATCGAGATTGTCTGAGGTTTTTGTGGGTAAAGGATATTGAGAGTGATGAAACAGTTGTTTATAGGTTTTGTAGAGTAGTATTTGGATTGAATGCATAACCGTTCTTACTCAGTGCAACATTAAGGCATCATGTCTCAAAGTATCTTGAAACAGATCCTGAGTTTGTGAAGAAGGTGCTAGAACATTTCTATGTAGACGATTTAGTTAGTGGGAAAACGGTAGATAAGGCATTTCAGTTATATGATAAGACTATGAGTAGAATGGCACAAGTGGGGTTCAAGCTAAGAAAGTGGTCTACTAGCAGTAATATATTGGAAAGTAAAATTAAGGTGCATGAGACAGACCAATGTGAGACAAATCACATTGTTGAGGATCATCAATCATATGCAAAACTATCCCTTGGAGTAACAGGATGTAAATCAAAATGCCATAAAGTGTTAGGACAGGCATGGGATAACAAAAGCGATGAGTTTAAGTTTGAGATTGAGAAGGTGTGGCGAAGGGCAAAAACCTTATCACCTACAAAGCGAAATCTATTGAGTGTTTTAGCAAGTTTATTTGATCCTCTCGGAGTAGTTATTCTAGTGATTGTATGTGCCAAAATATTGTTCCAAGAAGTATGTAAGGATAAAGTCGATTGGGATGAAAACTTCACTGAGGAGTTACTGCATAAGTGGTATGTTTGGTACAGGGATTTGATAGAAACTAAGGAAATTACCATTCCTTGCTGTATATATCAACATAGTGCAGAATATGTTTTGGAGTGTACCTTGCATGGATTTGGCGATGGGAGCAAGAAGGCATACTGTGCAGTTGTATATATTGTGTATCGTACTAATGTTAGGGGTTTATGTCCGCTTATTGACATCAACAGCAAGAGTAGCTCCCTTAAAAACAACTAGTATTCCCAGGTTAGAGTTAATGTCAGCGAGTCTCTTAGCGCAGATTATGAAGTCAGTAAAAGCGTCACTTGAAAACCAGGTTAGGATAGATAGTACCAAGTTTTGGCTTGACAGCATGACAGCACTCTAGTGGATAATGAACAGAGGTGAATGGAAACAATTTGTACACCACCGAGTAAATGAGATCTTGAAGCTAACGAACAAAGGGGATTGGGGGCATTGTCCCGGGGTTGAAAATCCTGCTGACATTGGGTGTAGAAGTGTAATTGCTTCACAATTGAAAGATAACAAGCTATGGTGGGTGGGGCCAGATTGACTAACTAAGTCCAAAGAGGAGTGCCCAAAATTTGAGGCTACTGATAAGACAAAGACAGTTTTGGAAGAGGAATGAAAGTCTGTAGTAATGGTTGTAGAGGCGACAGAGCCATCTATTATATAAGTAGAGTGATTGACTTGAATGATTTGGGACAGCGGAACGACTTTTTAGAGTAACAGCTTGGGTACTTAGGTTTGGGTTTAATGTACGAGCAAAAGCAAGGGGAATTGATAGGCAAAGTGGAGAGTTGACAGTGAATGAGTTAGTTGAGGCAGAGTATATATGGATTAAAGAGGCTCTGACCGGGCTGAAAGTAGATAGAAAGTACACCGAGCTGAGTAATAGTTTAGGTTTGATAGAATAGGAAGGCATTCTGAGATGTAAAGGTAGATTACATAATTCTGAGTTAGAGTTTAATACCAAACACCCAATCATTATACCCAGGGACCACAGACTGACTGAATTGATTGTCCAGAAATGTCACAGTGAAGTGCATCATGGTGGTGTACGGGCAACCTTCGGAAGATTAAGGAGAAAATATTGGGTTGTGAAAGGAAGGCAAATGGTGAAGCGGATTTTAGGTACTGTAGATGCGTCACCTGTAAGAGATTAGAGGGAAATGCATATAGTGTAGCACAGACGGCAGATTTGCCAGGATTTCGAGTTAGGGAGGCTGCACCCTTTTCTAATGTGGGAATAGATTTTGCAGGTACATTGTTTGTAAAGTGTTGTGCAAAATGTCCAAGTAAGGTTTATATAGCATTGTTTTCTTGTTGTGTGACTAGAGCCATACATTTGGAGCTAGTTAGGGATTTGTCTGCAGATAAATTTTTATGTTGTCTATGAAGATTTGCTGCTAGGAGAGGAATGCCAAGCCTTATAGTATCTGACAATGCCAAAACGTTTAAGGCAGCAGAAAGGGCAGTTAGACAGTCGTTTAACCAATCTAAGGTTAAGGCGGAATTGCAAACCAAACCAGTAACATGGAGGTTTAATTTAGAAAGGGCGCCTTGGTGGGGAGGATTTTTTGAGAGAATGGTTAGGAGTGTTAAACGGTGTCTTAGAAAGGTTCTACGTAATGCCAAATTGACAGTAGATGAGCTTACCACAGCGCTAGTAGAGATAGAGTGTACATTAAATGCTAGACCATTAGCAGATGAGTATGAAGAGTGTGAAGGAGAGGTTTTGACCCCGTCACACCTAATTTATGGTAGAGCTATTAACTTCATACCACAGAGGGAAGTAGTTAGAGAGGGGCGTAGCTGTGGAGAAAGATTTAAGTATATTACGTTGAAATTACAACATTTCTAGAAGAGGTGGCAAAGTGAGTACCTGACAGAGTTGAGATAATTTCACAAATGTAAGAGCGGAAATGCGAGAAAGAGTGTGAAGAAGGGAGATGTAGTGACAGTGTATGGAGAAGGAGAGAAACGAGGTAATTGGAAATTAACGAAAGTAGAAGAACTAATTATAGGTAAGGACAAGGAAGTTAGAGGGGCCAAAGTAAGAGTTGCAGGGAAGGGTAGACCAGTTTACCTGAAAAGACCGGTCCAGAAACTTTACCCGTTAGAGATTGAAGCTTGACCGGGTGGGAAGGAAGGGAATTCCCCTTCAGCTGAGTCAGGAGGTTCCTTGCATGATTTGTATGAGCGTTCCAGACGAGCTGCTGCTGTTATTTCAAAAGCGAAGACAATGGCGATGCTTGATTCATAGATGAATCCTTTATGAATCAAGGTGGGTGGGGTGTTGTAAGTTCCCAGCGCAGTGTCGCCAGTTTGACGTACAGCAGTTGCTTCTGCTACTTAATGTAAATATATGTATATAGCATTGCTTGAAATACGTCACAGTAATTCTTTGTAATTTAATACTATTATTGATTAAGGCTAATAGGTAAATTCAGTTGTGATCAGATCGTAGTGAGACGAGGAAGTCTAAAATCGCGTTGTATATAGAAAATCTTTCCAATGAAATAAATTGATAGCATACAGTCCCCTGAATGTTATTGTGTGTGAACCAGTGTGCGCGGAGATCAAAGTGAAGATTCTGCAAAAGGGCCGTTCCTAAATATAGACGCGATAATTGGGGTGGGGGGGAGGTATATTCATATGTTCATGTTCACATGCCGTAACAGCAATCGCTTTCAAGATAAATCCGTCGGGCAGTGACACGAATATATGAATATACACACCCCCAGGAACGATCCTGAATGCGAAAGAAAGAGTTAAAGCTCCGTTTTACTCGTTTGAAACTGTATTAAATTCATATGAAAATAAATACAAGAAAAATATTGTATACAATAATTTAATATTTTAAACAGTTTTTTTTGCAGCCGTCCTTACGTTGCCATCTTAAATGCTGTAAACTGCTATATTGTATTGATAGCTGTCGCCTTTATGTTGTTGTTTTCATTTCATTAGGTCCCGATTATGATTAACAATATGGATTGATACTATCAGAATTTGTAAAATCGTATATGAGAACAATACGTTGACATTGTTTTGAGAATCTTTTCAAAAAATTAATTAATATTATACAATCTCTTTGCGTGAGTTCGCGGGCAGAATGTTATATTACTGCAAGTTTTGTTTAATTGAGTAAGGTTAATTAAAGTTATATATCATATTGATACGAAATGAACAACGGACAAATAAAGTGCTTTATATACAAACGTCATCAACCAATTTATGTTATGAATAAAAGTTGTGTTAATTAATTTAGACATGATAGACATCACCCCATACGGGGCTTTGAGACGTACGGCAAAATCTAACCAGTGCAGAACTTGCAGTAATGAAAGTGGAAAAATTGGGATTTGTTTCGTTTGTACTGCTATGGAGCGTATATGTATGTACAGGTGAGTCGTGATATGTTAGCGTATACTTAGGAAATACTGTAGATGAAGGTACTAGACGGATTCAAAGTGTGGGTGCTCATGCATAAATAGCAAGGAGAATTATTAATGTTTCTAAGGTTGGAGAGAAATGATTCCGAAATAGTCTGATTTCTTTCTCCATTTGGGGCGAGTAAACTGGCAGTTCGATATTAGGAATATTTTGGTTATTCAATCTCAATATCATAATTTCTCACTGACATTTTACCTGCATCGACAAATTTTGTATATATACTGCTCAACACAATGCCTTGCCGTGAACATGGACAAAACCTTGTCTTGGGATAAACATGTTGATTTTGTCTGTTCTAAGGTTGATACCAGTACCGGTATTGGTGCAATGAGACGGGTTAAAATTGTGTACCACTGTCGACAACCAAAATGCTATATAAATAAATGCTATTACACACCGCACAAAATCTTAAAGAAGCATTTCAAAGATATAATACATACAGTATGATCTCAGAAAATATGGATACTGATTTAGTACCACCTATACCGAAAAAAGAATTTGGCAAGAGGTGATTTAGCCTTGCATTGGAATAATCTTCCCCATGACGCAAAAATTGCTGAATCCTTAATAAATTAATCTCTTTCAAATGGATTTCAAAACAAAGAATGAGTACTTGAAACGTGCTTGTGTATATAATAAAAATCATTGCATTTTCTTGTCATATTTCTGTATTCCTTCTGTATTCCTAATTTATATAGAGTTTTTCGCCCCTCGTGAAATGCAGCCTCCCAACGGCTGTTGAGGCGAGCGTGGTAGGCCAAAATTATGTATCTATGTATATATACCACGGCATGTTGGAGATGAGTGTACGATTCCATGTCATGAGTACAGATAACATGCTGTGGAATGCTATACCTGTAAGACAGGTTTGTCAGTTATTTTTGTAAAACAAGTATCGCGCAGGAAAATATGAATATGCACGACAAACTAAAACGAAGCTGACTGTGGAAGCCGACTGTCGTAGGGACCGGTGATGTGTAGACATCATGCTTCAGAACGTATTACCAATTAGGCAACGGCCTTGAGATGAGTGGTTCTGTGCCAAGCATCGGAAGTAATAAAACTAAAGATTGTAAGACACGTTTACGGAAATTCTAAAAAGATTCTTTATCCTCATTCAGAATATTCTCCAGTGCTTTCATATGATCGTTGAAAATGAATCGAAATAGCCATGTTTAGCGAGCAGTAGCGTAGGCAGCCCGACCATTTACTCCCGCTGTGCAAATATTTTCGTGTACGCATTACTGCAAGTTTTGGTTAATTGAACATGATTCATAAATATCATATATATGTGCAATGAACAACGGACCAAGGTTCAACGTTATTTAGCAAATCTTCTACCTACATATATACTGTTAAGATGACCGAGTCAAATCATAAGTAAGCTTATGAAGAATATAAGTTAGAATTGGAACAGCTCTAATATATTTTGCGATAAAAACATGTAGTCGTTATATACATTGTTATGTGTTGCTAAGTCATTATCGACGCTTGGGTGCATGCATATATTAACGTACAACATATTTGTACACTAATCAGGCGGGCGGTTTGCACGGGCGGAAAAGCGGGCTTTGCAGGCAAAAGTTAGCATAAGATTTCAGGTTGGGTTTTTTTTTGAAAATTCATTTATTGCTATCTTGAGTTATATAAACACATGAAAGTTAAAGGTCATGATATATAATTGTCAAGCGATTTCTATATTTTAGTGCTAGGTTTTTAAAGTACTAAAACTCGAATAAGGTTAATAAATTTAAGCTATATTAAAGCACACCGGTTGCTATGTGTTCTCAGGGTGAAACTAATTAAAGGATTAATTTTTATCAGAGAGATTTGTATTTGCTAATGTGGATAAATACGGATAGATTAGGATATTCATTGCGAGGGCGTCGCGGGTTATCCGTGCGGGTTGGAAACACAACAATGAGGAGGCTTATATTGGAAGAGAGAAAGCAGTTTAGACAGGATAGGAGGGCTTTACACCAGAAGTTTACACAAAAATTCAGTCTTAAAATACATTTATTTCTTCGAGACGTTTACAAAGTTAATGTGGTCTACTTCTTAGAACATAATGTGTTTGATTGTATATCAATTACGCCCAACAATTTAAATGTTTTTTGTAATAAGAGTCGATTGGCTTAATTGTTCAATCGCCATGGTTTCTATACCCCTATAGTCCTACATCCACCCTACATCGGCCCTACATTGACCCTACATCGACCCTACATCGACCCTACATTGACCCTACATAGACCCTACATCGACCCTACATAGACCCTACATCGACCCTACATCGCACCCACATGTCGCCGGAAAAAATCTTTATCTTCCGTATCCTTATCCTTATCTTCCTATCTTTATCTTATTATCCCCATCTTTATGAAAGTCTATAGTCCTGACTATGAAAGACTATAGTCCTGACTATGAAAGACTATAGTCCTGACTATGAAAGACTATAGTCCTGACCATGAAAGACTATAGTCCGGACTATGAAAGACTACAGTCCTGACTATGAAAGACTATAGTCCTGACTATGAAAGACTATAGTCCTGACTATGAAAGACTATAGTCCTGACTATGAAAATAACTCGTCAAAGAACGTTGTAAACGTCTCGAAGAAATAAATGTATTTTAAGACTGAATTTTTGTGTAAAGTTCTGGTGTAAAGCCCTCCTATCCTGTCTAAACTGCTTTCTCTCTTCCAATATAAGCCTCCTCATTGTTGTGTTTCCAACCCGCACGGATAACCCGCGACGCCCTCGCAATGAATATCCTAATCTATCCGTATTTATCCACATTAGAAAATACAAATCTCTCTGATAAAAATTAATCCTTTAATTAGTTTCACCCTGAGAACACATAGCAACCGGTGTGCTTTAATATAGCTTAAATTTATTAACCTTATTCGAGTTTTAGTACTTTAAAAACCTAGCACTAAAATATAGAAATCGCTTGACAATTATATATCATAACCTTTAACTTTCATGTGTTTATATAACTCAAGATAGCAATAAATGAATTTTCAAAAAAAAAACCAACCTGAAATCTTATGCAAACTTTTGCCTGCAAAGCCCGCTTTTCCGCCCGTGCAAACCGCCCGCCTGATTAGTGTACAAATATGTTGTACGTTAATATATGCATGCACCCAAGCGTCGATAATGACTTAGCAACACATAACAATGTATATAACGACTACATGTTTTTATCGCAAAATATATTACAACTGTTCCAATTCTAACTTATATTCTTCATAAGCTTACTTATGATTTGACTCGGTCATCTTAACAGTATATATGTAGGTAGAAGATTTGCTAAATAACGTTGAACAACATGCAAATATTGACCTTAACAACGACGTTGACAACCCGGGATTAGCAACTGTTTAGTTCTGTTTAAAATATGTCATGATTCTTGTGACCAATAGATTCCTCGCTATAATTTTGTAAACATACGAAAAATCCTTCAACATACTCGCGGAAATTTATCTCTTGCGAGAAAAGATACGGCTATAACTCTGCTATATATTAATAATATTGACCTTAACAACGACGTTGACAAACCGGGATTAGCAACTGTTTAGTTCTGTTTAAAATATGTCTTGATTTTTGTGACGAATAGATTCCACGCTAGGAACATACGAAAAATCCTTCAATATACTCGTGGAAATTTATCGCTTCCGAGCAAAGATACGGCTATAACTGTGTTATATATTAATTTCGATCACAATTTTGCAATGTGAGGGACTCGAACCAATCATAGCAAGCCATGATTAATCCCTGTATTGTATCACACACGTGGGGGACGCTAAAAAAATGCATAGTCAGCAAGTTTCAGCCGATCGTGTTTAAGCTCGCCCGCGTGACGTCATTGCATATAATTATGACGTATGTTAATGATGAGTGACGTCATTACGCACCCTCATTTGTATGAATATTAATTATAAATGAGGTGGTGGACACCCACCACCTCAAACTCCACCACCTCACACACCACCACCACCACACACCACCACACGCCACCACACACCACCACACGCCACCACCACCACCACCGCACACCACCACACGCCACCACCACAAAAAAGGGCCCGATCGGACCCTATATTACTACTTATATAAAATCTCAATAAAAATTTATGGAATGACGTTCTGAGTCGGGGATCAAGATGACGTAGCGGTCTGGGAACGAGAGAATCTGCGATGACGTTTTGTCATACGGTGCTTTATGGGGTGCTGAGAATAAAAAATTGGGGTAACTATAGTAAGAATGTTGCAGGATAGTAATTCTTTGGTGAATATATATGTGTCCAATTTCACACAAATATTCGCGTCTCTTAAGAATATAAGGAAAATTGGGGTAACTTTTATTAATGACTAGTAAGAGTGTTGGAGGAAGGTAGTTAATTGGTTAATATGTTTCCAATTTCACGCAAACACCAACGTCTGTCAAGTATATTAGGAAAATTGGTGCATCTTTTATCAATAACTAGCGTCCACGCCTAAAAACATGTGTCCCTGTCCTAAAACATGTGACCACGGCTACAAAAATTATTTTGTAGTGTAGTGAACTCCACCTGTAGTGAACTCCACCTATTGGGGCAGCTTTTATCAGTAAATGATAGGCAGCATTGGTTTATTGTGCTAGTACTTACCATAGCTATTCCATGAGTGAGAGTACTGTCAACCTGTAACCATGCCACATACGTTTAGATATTAGTGTTTTATCTCAAACTCACAAATAATTCATGAGTAAATTAGCCAACCATATTGCTTTATTTTGCTCACATGATAATACTGGATACCTGATGAAGTACATTGATCCAGTCCTAGGACTGGGTCAAAATTAATTCAGTCCTTGGACTGGGTCCAAACTAATTAAGTAGTCATTTATTCGCATGAGATGTCATTTCAAATCCTCCAATTCGGACTGGACTAGATTTCAAGTCGTCACATTTTGAGTTCTCGTCCAGTCCTCATAGTCGGATTTGACAAATTGCGCGGACTTGAAATCTAGTCCAGTCCTCATAGTTGGATTTGAAATATTACGTCTTAGATGTCAGTAGAATGTAAAAAGTATTCCAATATACAATGTGCACTGCGTAAGAACTATTTGATGTAGATGACAAAGAACAGCCAATTACATCTACATTTTGTCCACGAACTTCGGGCAAAAAACTATTATTAAAAATAATTACAATAATTACAATTTTCGGTTTTGTAGGCTGCGTGCTGCACAGTCCAATATTGATTCTTAAGTAAATACTAAATTACCTAGCTATTATCATTGGGATGTTCTCGCGCTGAACAAGGCTCTTAGAAATGCAGTATTCTATATACCTAGAGAAGACGTAAAACAGTTTCATTAATTTTCACAGTAGTGCATAAATGCAATGTACTATTTATTAGTCAATCTTCGTCATCTGAAATATCCAGGATGGGACACACCACGTCCTCCTCCTCTTCCTCCTCCAGCTCCTCATCATCGTCACTTGAGATCACTTCCTGCTCTTCGGATGCTTCAAAAATATCTGTACTCACAGTTATCATGTTCTCAAAAGTACATTGGGCTGTGGAAGTGACGATCGAACTTCAACGGAAAGTTCATTTCCAAACAAGGACCCCAATACAAACAGTTTATTTTCCTCTTCACAAACTTTGTTTCGCAGGATACACTTGAGTCCTCCCTCACATAAACCCGCCATGTCGTCTGCATGTCAGGGGTGGAAAATATAGCGGACCGTGGGACCATTGGTCCCAGAATTTTTTTTATGCTGGCAAACAGAAAAAAGGAAGGAAGAAAAAGGGGGGAAAAGAACAGAAGGGAAAGAAAGAAAAGAAGGAAAAGGAAAGAAAGAAAAAAGAAGGAATGAAAAAGAATAGAAGAAAGAGTAACAGCACAAATAAGTAGCCATTTTGTTCAGAGACAGAGACTATGTGTAGTGGGTGCCCCCAAAATAATTTACGAAAGAACTTTGATAGCGGAATGTGGCCTCATTTGCAGGCAACCTTGTTCTACCCCTTTGCCCCTTTGTTGGTTTGTATCGTACCACTGCCCTGGTTCCAAAATTCGCTATCCCCTCGTTCCCCTGCCTCCTTAATTATATTCCCAATTTCTGTAGGAAGTAGTAACAGTAGCAGTAACAGAAACAAATTACTTTATTAGCATGACTTAACATTCAAGTATTGCTTATTAGTTGGTATAAATATTTACAAATGCAAAATGTTTTAATGGTAGTATTACATACTGTTAGTATAAAGCAATACAAGATATCGAAATGAAGTTTATAATGATATGAAGGAAGACATAGTTTTTGCAGATGAGTACACTAATTTTACAGTATATAATTGAAGAAGTTTGGGTTTTAGTTAAACAGCCTATTGACTGTCAGTATCCATGGCTTCAAGGCATTTAGATCTCTACTCAAAACATAAGTGATAAATTTCGATAATTTTATCACAGTTTCATTAGCAGTTGATTTCATTATATCAACTGGTAAACTGTGTTCGTCTATATATGCTTCATTGGTGGGATCACATTCCAAGTAATTTAAAAATGTTTCACGAAGACTACTACAGGCTTCACAAGAAGTTAGGAAGGGATGTTCCGCTTCAACTTCTCCTATCTGGCAGACCTCGCATACTCTGTCTTCTCACGGAATAAACAAAATATTGACATTTATTTCCTCCCCACCCCCGGGCACCCAATATTTCACTAAGTGTCTGCCAGTGATTGTATTATATAAAGCACAACTAAATGCAATCAGAGTTAATAGAAAATACACATCGCTTGGAAAATTAATAATTATAATAAGAAGAAAATTTTTATAGCCCATATACATTCCTATTCTATGCGCTTAGTAAAACATTACTGTTCTATGCGCTTGGTAAACTTCAAGTTGTTTCCTAACCAAACTTCAATTTATGTTGAAAGCTTGAAATGTACCTGAAAACACAATTGGTTGATCAATATTAAAATCTTACGGTTGAAGTCTGAGGTTTCCATTGGGCGATTGCTTCATTATACAGAACAAAATGTTCACTAACTGTGAAAGTACACAAATTTCCGGAAAGGCAAACAAAACATAGAACTTACCCTACAATACCTTTTGTCCAGCTTCCAAATCGTGTTTGTTCTGAGACTACTAATTATGATGCAAATATTAATACAGTTTAAAAACCGCCTTCCAGATTTTACAAATTCACAGTCTTTCCTCACTTGTTTATTTCAATTAAATCCTTTCTTCAGTTGCTTTATGAAAGGTAATCTTCTAGGACTGCCACAGCTTTTATATGGTACTATGGGAAATTATAGTATAGGACCTGTATATGAGTTTGTATGCATTTCATTTAGCACAGGTAATCTCAACTGCTTTAGGGTAAACTGACCATGGCGGTCAACATGGAATATGTACCAAAACCTGAATCCGGGACGAAAGTCCTGAAAATAACCCCGCCCTGAAACGGCAGTGTCGACATAGCTCTAACTTCCGAAAACAAAAAGCGATAGTCTTTCTGAAGTGCTTATAGCGTTTAGAAGGGTAGCTTTTAGGGGTTGTCATTGAAGGAAAAATTTGTCTAAGTATAATATTTTACAAGAAAATGACCATGCACCACCCCAGATAAATTGCTAATTATGCATAAAATAACTAATATGCCTGGCAGAAATTAAATATTCTTATTTCCTAAAAAAACTATCATGGGGTGAAACTCTATGCTTAATTTAATATAAATATTGTTGATTTCATAAGGATTGTGATTGTTTTCTTTAAATATAATACATTTTATTTCGCTTACCCCCCACGAAAACACGATTTCAGCCATATTTTGTCGTCTTGATTGCTTTTTATCGCCGAATCTGGCAAATATCATCCAGTTGTTGTACTTTTACATAATCATAAATGTCTGAAGAAGATCGATTTCAAAGAAGGTTTGATCAAGTTTTGAAACAGTGCAGTGTATTTTATCTTCGATATGGTGTCCTTCGATATTTCGTCAAATTGCCGCCATTTTAATGGCTCGCTACTTCTCTGCCCGATAAATGCCACATCTTCGTTTTCATATGTATTTAGATTACATTATCCAAGATTAGATCATTGTATAATAGTCCCAATCCAAAAATTGAAAACATTATTTGTACTTGGGAAGAAAAAACCTCCCATAATAGAAGTAATTTAAAAGTCACGCGCGAGTTCGCCAAAACACCTCGTGGGCTACATTACGGGG